TTCGTCATAATTAATATCCAATATTTAAGGATCCTTTATATATTTTGCAAGATATAATTTTTTGCCGTTATGTAGATTAAAGTATATTTCTTAATTCATCTTATCATAATGTCGTAGAATGCAAAAGAGGCGCGATTAGTAAAAGATTGAAGAGATTATTCACCATTAAAATATCGTAGAGTAATTATGTAAAAAAAGTGTAATCTTTACAATGAAGCATATATTATGTGTACACTTTTAACTTTTAACACAACTATATGGTTGAAGAAAAGACTAGCTTTTTTTGCTAAAAGCGTTATTTAATGTATCGTCGTATCCGAGTTACCTAACTAATAGATACAGCCGTAAAAGGTCGGAAGGCGTAATTATGAACATCACTTATAGAATTGCAATTATGAAAAAAGAATTATAAATCAACTATAATTTGTTATAACGAAGTAGATATTCAATGTACATTTTACAACAGGAATAATATGCGTTGAAGAAAAGACTGGGTTTTCTTATTAAATGATATCGTTTGAATTCAATTAATCACTTAAATGTTTGTACAACGACAAATGATCATACTCGAAACCTATAATTATGAATTCAATTTCAAACAGAACGTTAATTCACTTAGCGAATTGCATGGGTAAGTGAATTAACAAACATTCATGAAGTATCCAATCACAGATTATATACACTAAAATATCCTATCAAATCTAATTTTATGTTTACGATTAATCATTAGAATATTATACATAAACCATATGTTCTTTTTTAATTAACATGTCTTAATTTTCATGCGTTCATTATAACGTTTTTATAAGAGATTACTTAGGTTCGAAAATAATAGTCATGAAATCTAGTAATATCCAGAAACGACGCGAGTGAGATAAGAGATAAAAATCCTATTAAAAAATATAATCCTATTAAATAATTAAACGAATATAAATCTTTTATGTAACATATGATATCATAGTAATTACGTATAACGTTCTAATTGACAAAAAACGCTATTTTAATTAAAACTATCTGGTTAGGTTATTATCCGCTAAGCATAATTCATATAATACAAAAAACTATATACTCTGTACTCGTCGCGCTGTTTTCGAAACATTTATCGCCATATTGCGGAACCGTATAGTTGCTAATGCGTCTACACTGTATTGATTACCAAAGTGTTTATAACTGTGCTATCTTAATTAGGTATTTCGCGATTAGAAGATTCTACTGCATATTACGAACTTCGTCTGCGCCAGTAAAGCAAGATGCGGCGTCAATATTGATTTATGTTCAATTCGATTCGCCTTTCGATAGAACATGATAAATTGAGGTCGAGAAACGAAGGCACAATCATACGTAAAGCAAACAGCATAAGACAGAAAATCTATACCGCACAGTTCGGCGAATATATAATTTCCTTTCTTTCTGATTATCACAAATAACAACTTTCCCGATTTCCTTCAAATGAATAACGCGCTTTTCATCGTAACACATTTATAATATATGTATAGCATAAATACTAGCCGAAGTCGAATATTCATATATTGTTTTAAGATATCTTAGAATATCTTTCGCCTAACATATCGTACTGCAAAAAAAGTTTTATGAGAAAGATGAAGTATCGTTTCTCTTTATTTAACAAATATAATGTAATTCATATAGGCATTGCCAATTTCAATTTCGCAAAGAAGATTCCAAAATAAAACTGAATTAAAAGTCAAATAAGAGCAGTCTTTCTCTGTCGAAATATCGTACATTAATAAAAATTAAGAAGAGTTGGCATATATTGTAGGGTCCGTTACAGCCCGCTCATCCAAGGCCATTATTCGCGTCGATGGCACAACCTCGTCAAAGACAGTCGGGTCAGGTCGTTCCCTCGACTCGCCATACCATTTGGCAAATTGAGAAAAGCTATAGCAATCGAAAGCGAACCTTGACACTCTTTTTTCCACCGGCGTATCTTGTATTTTTGAGAGGCGCATACATCTCGACTTGAATGCTTTTTGCATCGCGGTCGACCGCATTGCCCGATGGGGAGGTTTCTTAAAATAGATTCCAGTGCTAACTAGAAGTTGATTCGAACACGTACGCACACATGTACGTATCGAGTGATGCATACAATGGCATCGCAGGTTTCTCTTTCTCTAGACAAGATTTAGCTTTATGAAAGCTGGACATGTGCGCGCATCTGTAGGCATCGGTTTACAATCCGTTGCTGCTGCATCAAAAGCTACGTATCTCCATTGTAATTTAAATAAAGAGTACTAATTAATTCAGCATTACCAAAATAATAAAATAATGTAGAAGTATGAGCTAATTCTGGTCAAAGAGAAAGATAAAGAGAAAAAGAGACAGACCGAAATATAATTTAATTTAAAATTTTTACGGTTTTTATGAAAAAATTTAAAAAAATGAGAAAAGTATAGAACTTGATAAAAATATTTTTAACTAAAATATAATACTTTTTTAAAACATGATATAATTTTAAAACAAATGATAATCTCGCATCTGCAACTTTGCATTATGTTGCCGGATAATTCACGCTTCTTGAATATTATAGAATCACAATATCCTGATGTGCATTCCACTCCTATCTCATATTTTCTTTCTCTTTTTATCTCGCACCTTCTCGCATTTTCCATTTTATCTTTATTCCTAACTCTTCGCTTTACCATTTTGTATAACCATTGAGAGGCAGGGTGCTTCGTAGAACATTTCTCATTGGTGGTCTTCTCTTATCTATTGCTACCGTCGCTTCTTTCACACAGCTTCAAGCAGCCTTTGCTTGAGGAAAAGCATGCACCTTGTTAAGACGAACCGCGCGCAAGAAGAGCTTGATGCACCGCGTCCGCTATTTTTACGTATCTTTTCCGACGGCTTTCCTGACGCCTGGTTTATTTGCCCGTCACGTTGACGCGCAATTATTACGAACGCGCTACGTGATTTAATATGCGACCGTACTTCGTCGCACTTTAGATTGACGCGATAAAATTTCCGGCAATTTGTTTTTCTTCCGTCGAATGAATACGGATGGACGCGATTGGCGCATCGCGCGGCGCAACGTGGCGGAAATTGCATTATTTTCGACCATTGCTTGGACAAATATAAAACGAGCGCACGCTCAATAAAACTTACACCATAAGAGTCGTATATATTACGATATTTTATAATTGCGACAGAAATAATTTATCAATCGTCGATAGATCGATTGTCATTAGATAAATAAAATTTTATTTCGAGTTATTTTTTAGAAACATCGTTTCAGATGGCTTTTCATTTTGACTTAATAAACTAATTTTTTTTATTACGCGACTCTTATCTTTCATTCCTAAAACTAGTAAGAATACATAATTGTAGTAATGTAAGGCCGCAGGAAAAAGTATATCTAAATATGTTTACATTCAGTTTTACAGTCTAAAAGTTTTCAATTTTATATAATAAAAGAAATCGGTTTAACTGTAGAAAAACACGAGTCATAAAGTCAATCACTGAATAATTTTATACAAAATTATGAAGTTGTCTATAAAAAAAATTCACATAGATTTTTATATTTTTATTCTGAAATGTTTAAAACGTTGGATAAGCAAAGGTTATCGACCTAGCAATGACCATTTAATGATCGACTGATTTTGTATGCCTTACGGGACGTGATCGGAATTGACGAAGTTACTCCGACGTAGATTGCCTGCTCTGCCCATCAGCTGTGGTTCCTAACAATTTCGGTAACACAATTTGATCCCGAGGCACGAGAACGAATTTGATTTATGTCATGTGCGTAAAGCATGAGATAACATTGCACTTTCGCTGCAGTCAGCGTCATGCCCGCGCGTTCAAATTCGCGATATCGATATTTGTTAGTATGCAAGAAGAACGAGCGGGCGCCGGCTTGCGCGTGCCAATAGTGAAAATCCGCCGTTGATGCACCATCATGCTTTCGCACACTCGTACGCGGGAGAAAATATTTATTGCTGTTCGCGATTTTCGCGTCGTCGCGAAGTGCCGAGATATTTCGCGGTGAACTGAATGTATGTGCGACATCACGACGGTGAGAAAACGCATTATCGGCATTCGCTGTATCAGGTGTCACGTCGAACGAGCTGTCGATACCAGCGGCGATCGGCATCACGCGTAATTGACCATTAGATCGGCTCCCTATAACTTTCTCCCCAAACGTCTATCTTCGAGATGTGTAATATGTTACAGAAAATCTACATTATATTTTATAGAAATAAGATCAAACTGTCAGATCAAACCGTCTCTTATTCCAAAATAAAAAAATCATTGAACTTCACCAAACATTTATCTTTATATTTAATAGTTCAAAAATAAAGAGTTCAGAATATTACGGAATTTCGTCATATACAACATATTCTATAATAAACGCAATTCGTGAAGGGATCGATCTTGAGTCAAACAAGCACAAATAATTAAACGTCTGAAATTAAAAATCATATTCATTTATCTACATTCTCGAAACTTAATTTTGCAAAATCTCATATTTTAATATATTCTTGTGAAATATTCTTGGAAAATATGAAAGGCGTGCCGCGATATATTCATTGTTGTGTCGAATCATCGTGCTATATACATACGAAACGTCGGCCGTCGCTACGAATATTTCCATAATAATATGTACGCGCGGATAGTGAAAACCGCTTTACCGATATATTGCGACGTGCCGCGCTGTTACTCCAATTCCAATTTTTCTTTGACGACTTTGATGTATTCTGTAAAGTATTATAGTTATCTCTGCTATATCCATATAGTATTTCTTTTAAAATCAAAGAAGAAATAATGCTCGATTGAATCTTGGCAAAAGGAAAACGGTCTCTCGATAGACAGATAGATAGGTTCAAGTCAAATCTCCTCGAATTGAAAACCCTGTATCCCTGTGTGTCATTAAAAAAAGACGGAGTAACTTCCACGAAAGTTCGCGAGTTCTGTCCGGAGTATAGCTTGTGTTCGCAGCGAGTGTTTGAGAAAGACAACACTATACAATGAAGAATTTGTTGCAGGGAGGGCGAGGGCGGCGGCGGCGGCGGCGGTGGCGGCCGTTCTGTGACCGGCTCCGTTGGCGGCGGTGGCGGAGGCGGCGGCGGCGGCGGTCGTCGGGCACCGAGCCTACGGCTGGTGAACGGAAGGGCGACCACGGGGGTGAGTTTGCACACCAGCAGCACCGAATCCGTGCGCTCTCCCCATCACCAGCTGGGCCAGCAGATCGGCAACAACAACTGCCACGCCGGTAACAACCCCGCCGCGAACAATCATCCACGGCTCAACAAAGATGACAGCATCAAGATCAGCATCGAGAACACCAACACGTGCACGGACAGTCTCGTCACTGCTCTAGACGACGAGACCCTGCTCATCACCGATTTCCTGGGCGACACAGGTAAGTCAACGAATCGGCGATCAAAGAGATCCTGCTCTTTAAAGGATTCGTATAATTACGATAGTTTTGATCTTCTTTCGAGCACACTGAGAATGTTAGAATGTTTTGCGCATTGAGGATATTTATCTATATTACCATCACTATACATTATTAATTCGCATACGTAAAATGTGATTACTCGATTAAAACATGCAAACTGTTTCTACTGATTAAACAGCTCATTGTCATAAAATGTAAATACGATAATTGTTTCAAAATTGGATTAATTCAATTAATTACGACGATACACAGATTATAGCTTTCATGCAGCGCGACTGAACGCATTCACAGCATTTCATGAAATCCATGTGGGATATTAAAAGAGAATCCACGTTTAAATACGCTATTCAAAGTAAGAGTATTTTTTATTGTTTATATTGCTTTTGTATTTTTTTGTAAAAGTCTTGATAACGGTACCTGTCATCGCTCGTACCGTAATGCAAATATCGATGTCGTACATAAGTATTACGTTCAAATAAACGAACGGTTTATTTGAGATGTTTGCATAAAATGCAAGACGTAACGTCTACGACCATTATAAATTCCAATTGAACTTGCGATCTTCGCAAACTTCTCGGAGGGATATAAAGAATCTGAGTAGAAATGACGACTTTAATGAGATCCGCCGTAATAAAGCGATACAATCATAACGACGACGGGAATGAATCGTTCAACGAATTGCATTGCGCGCTGTGTCACCGTAACATCAAGCTTCCCGTAATGTCCACGTTATATGAATCTCGGCTCACGAAACGGAAGTGACTAGACATGAAATTACAGGCTGAATTTTCTAATTGGTCGAAGTATTGGCGTCAGTATACTCATTTTTTAACTATATCGCGTAAATAGGCCACTGAATCGAATCAAAAGGCTCATAAATGTCGGATTAAACTCGTTTCTCGCAGGTGTACACGAATGCGATTGTCGCACTGTGGTGTTCGCGGTGAAATGTCATAAATCATTGATCGGACCTGTGACACGCGTTCATACATGTGTGTAACGAGCGGGTTGTCCGTCGCGTACAACGTACAAATGGTGCGATGTGCTTGCTGTAACGCGATGCAGCTAATGGTGATGGAAAAAGGAACGTCGTTTTATACAGAAATAACTGAAATGCGAAATAACATTACGAGGATACAAATAATATCAAAGCGAAAATTTATGTGCAATGGAATACGGCAAATGTCGCGAGACCCTGAAAGAAAGAGGGAGGAAGAGAGAGAGAAAGAGAATCTAAATATTGCAGGATATGTGTTCTTCGCAAATGTATAATGCAGCGTAATATATTTCGTGAGAAAGGATTACCATATTCAAAGTTGTTTCGGGATAAGACTATTTAAAATAAGAATGATTCAACACGCTTGTATAAGTTAGCATCCAGGCGATAATGAAATTTTTAGCAACGCGTATTTATGCGAATTTATAAATGCAAATTCAACTGTATCTTTCGCATCAAAATATAATCATTATAGGCATCTCCTCGTTTTTCTGGTTTGGATGCATCATATATAATACTCACCGCATACGAACGCAGTGGATTTTTCGCGAAAATTGAAAATATACGATAATAAATTGGATACTGGAATATAAAAAACCTCTGACACATTTTGCGCGAACATAGGTGCTCCCTGAACCCATATTCAAGCGTATCTATTAAAATAATATAAACCTCAATTAATTTGCAGTTTCGCTGACGATAGCATACCTATATTCTTATTAAATAATTCGAAGGAAATAATATAGCATGATCGTAGCCTACAATTACTAATTACATATATCACAGTAATACAAATTCGAATCATTCCGGACGCAAATCTTTATAACACAGAATACATTACAGAATTTATAAATATGGCTAATACGAATTTGAATATTCTCCATAAAAATTGAATCCTTATTTGTTGCTCACGATTAAAACACAGCAACGCTATTCTATCCATTCTGTCCATTCGACTCGAATATCATATACGGTACAACGTGAGCGCAATAAATCGCGATATTAGATCTCTTACGCCACTGCGATTCGTATCGGCATCAGGAATCATATGGTAGAGCGTCCGGGGATTAGCGTATATACCAACATATGGAAAAAAAGAATCGGGCATATGTACCCGTTCGTCCGGCTAAAACCGGTCAGTGGATACGCATCTCTTCTCGCGCTTCTTCGTCCTTGTTCCGTTACTTAAGCGAATCTTGCGCGGTATATATCTGCTTTTCGACCGGGTTAAACGCGATACTGTTTTATCTCGTTCTCGTCCGCGAACTCGTCATGGCGATGAACGTCGACGAAGGAGGTGGATCTGTTTTCGTGGCGCAAGAGAAGCCGCTCTTGCAGCAAAGTGCCATGTCCTCGCAAAACGGTTTGAAATCGAACAATATTGGTTCCTGGTCAGAATCGTGCGAGGAGTTTATCTCAAGTTGGACATTATGGAGCACGGTTCACGGGACTTTTCGAAAATCGCGTACATCCGGTGAGTGTTGCTAAATCGTATCGTTTATGCGATTGTCAATAACCATTGACTTTGTCGGTACTTATTTCGAAAAGGGAAAACAGAAACGATGATAATATTCTTTCATTTCTACTGCCTTTTAGACCAAGACTTTTACAAAAAAATATAAAAGTGATTTAAAATTTAAGTCATACAAAATAATAAGAATTCAAATATTATGAGTTAGGACGTTAGGAATAACGTAATTGGTGATTTACGCAATATCGATAAATGTAAAAAATACATGTAATATAATTATTTATGTGTAAAAATCCGATTCCATTATCAGTCATTTGTGATGAACGATTGCAATGAGTTGTCATGAGTGATTTACAATTAGAAAATTAAATTAAGATATTTATACTGGAATTAACGAAAATTAATGTGGCATGTAAAACTGTGAAAATTATGCATGCATTATTGATACATGCATAAAAGTGATTCTTGAGTCGTTCTTGAGAAAAACTTCTTTGTTTTAAGAAGAAGAGATAATTATGCCATCAAAGCAAAAGAGATGGCAACAAAACAAAGATACATGTTGACCTTAGAGGATGACCTGAGAAAGTACGTGTGCGCGAGTGTGTGTGTGTGTGTGTGTGTGTGTGTGTATCGCGATTTTAAATTTTAACCGTGTCAAATCTTATTTGAATTTATCAAACACTTAACATTTTCGAGAGGCAAATAAACTTTAACTCACCGTGATCATATAAGTTCTAAAGAGTCCCGTGAAATTTGCACAAAGCAAATTTCGCAAGTTAGTTTATGAGCCATAAAGATACTTCGGGTTAACGACATTAAGTCATACGTTTCGGCGCTATCAAGTTTACAAGTTCAGTTATGCTTGTGGACAGTTCGCGATTTGTGCTTTGTGCGACCGCTATCATGCGACTCGACTCAGGTTTATCGGATAGGAGTGAAATTTTACGAGCGCTATCGAATGACGATAAAAGTCGCGGAATAATGAACGATTGTCGCCGTCACTGACCTCACGCGACCGTGTTGCAGGCAACGAAATGAATTACAAGGGCAGCGGGAAGGTCCACTTCGGGGTGGACGACGTGTCCCTCTATGGGACGCCAAAGGAGGAACCGGGCCCGGGCCTCCCGGGCCAGGAGGTCAAGCAGAGCTTCCTGAAGAATCAGCTTCAGGCCCTGTTCCAGCCGACGGACAACAAGTTGGCTATGAAGCTCTTCGGTAGCAAGAAGGCGCTTATGAAGGAACGAATCAGACAGAAAGCCGCAGGTCACTGGGTCATCCATCCTTGCTCCAGTTTTCGGTATGTCCTTCGACTATCAACTGCATGATCTCATTCAACAGGCCGCATCAATATTTCGCGCTATCGCATTCGTTCCGGCTCGAAAACATGTTCCACCAAGAAATATCGGCCCTAGACACAGCCTCATATCTAAGTCTGCTTGAATAAACTCACGCGCGACACATCGTTCTCCGTAAAAGGGGACAAAACTCTGCATGCACTTGTTCCTCACGGGAGGCGTAAAATTTTACGCTTAGTTGTTGACAAATAACTAGATATATAAATAACGCATACTATTATAATAATTGGCTACTATATAATACAAGTTCCTATATTAATATTCATCTTTTTTCGTAAAAGTAAAAATTTTTTCGTAAAAATTTAGCTTCTCCAACACTTTGTAAGTTACATCAATCATGAAATGCTTTTTGCGAGACGCATTACCTCAGACATTTTAAAAGGAAATGGTAGAAAATGAAAAATTACTTCTCTTCATGAGACTTGCTTTTGTGCCGATATAAAAAATTATTATCCGATTGTGCCAGTCATTTTTAACTTAATATGATACAATTTTTAATTTTAACAGTCACTGCTCCGAGAAATAGAGTGACGTTATAAAAAATTTATTGTTCGGATATGAATATGTTACGTGTACGTTATGTACGAACGTGTACGAAAGTGATAAATGACAGACGAGCCCTGAGCGAGTAAGCGTAAATCAACGCTAGTCGTGTCGGCTTACTCGCAAGCCAAAACTTTTCGGCTCGACTACGACCCCGGCTCAAGGAACGTAAACTAGCGCCTTTGTGCCGCAGTAAAATATCTGCCGTATCCGGATCGTTCTTCAGGCTTTCGAGCCGCGCGGGCACGTCTCCGGCAAGCAGGACAGATTTCGAGGATCACAAAAGGGCGCGTTTGACCTACGACGACGTGCGGGGTTAACACGCGTTGCTCGCGGCTTCAATCGATCTGGGTCGCGCGGAATATTCAATGGTTCTACGAAGAATCACGGATTTAGTTATGTATATGCCGCATGTATATACAGTCGAATAGTCGACCTCGCCCCGCTGGCGAAGTCGACGAAACAGCAATGGGACTTTACGGCCTCAAGAAGGAGGCCTCCATCAGGCCTTTCGTTTCCTGCCGGAGTTGCCTTATCGATGGCGAGCCACAATCCGTCGCTAAAGTCCGGACGCGTGCTATCGACTTCTCGCGGAGGATGTTGACGCGCTCGCCGAGCCGTTTAAGGACAAATGTATCGATTAGAATGACAATAAGCGCTCGAGAGTGCCTGTCTACCGAACGATAATGGATGGGCGATCCTCGATTAATGGATCGCTTGCGGAATTAACTATTAATCAACATTAGTCCGGCAAAAAGGATTACAAGAGCGTAAAGTATCCTCCGCGGATTTGTGTTAGCGAAAGTTCACCGGTAACACAATAATACGCAAATAAAAAATCGAAAAACGCAAGTACTGAGGTTCGAGAAATTTATTCTTAACTTATTAAAAATAAATTTCAAATCGTAACGCTTGAAAATTAACGAGAATTAACTTTTAACAATTAACATTTTCTCATAATGTCCAACAATTTATCCTTCGATGATTTATACGGAAGAATTGTCACAGTCTAATTTCTTGTTTAATATGTTCATTGCTCGTGCAAGTTCTTTTAAAATCTATTTTTGAAGCAAAAAAAACTCTGCGGCGAGAGAAATCAACCGAAACGAATCCGCGCGGCCTGAAAACAAGCAAATGGGATCTCATTGCAGTATCAAATTGCCGATATTAAACTGTGCATAGCACAGCGTGTCGTTCCATAACGCGCGAAACGCTATACTCCACCACGGCTTGGCAGCCGCGACGGCGGCGACGGCGACGGCGCGCGGCGGCAGCGGCGTTTGTCGTTCCAATTGGTTGAAATTGCCCGGCGCTTCCGTTCGGAATCTTGGTTAATTACCGGCAGCGCGGAGGACATTGGATCCTCCGCAGCCTTCTCTACGATTCCACTAAAACGCGAAATTCTCGTGGACACTGAAACTTTAATTCGCGCCGCCGTTAATGGTAGCGATATCTTCCGCAAAACCAGACGGTTGTTCTTCGCTCGGCGTGCAGCGCTAATATCCAGCTGCTAAATTATACAAACGAGCGTCAATGGTGCTCCATTTTCGAACCGTTATCGTATAGATCAGATATAAAAGTCATGTAAGCTCTCGTGTCTGACACGTATGTTTTATTCGGACGTGGCACAACAAGGGACATGTATACCCACGAATTAACAAATATATTATTTAAACGTACAGTGTAAATATATCGAATCTTTTTCCTCGTCAGAAAATAATGATAATAATTCCAATAGTTCGAGATTGTATTAATATCATACTGTGTGTGTGTATGTGTGTGTGTGTGCTTTTTATACAAATTACCTATATAAATTTCTTTTTTTTCAAACAATTTTATAAAAAATTTCAAGCTTTATATCTTATTTAATACTCTAAAAAAGGTGAATTCCACGAAATATTTGCAAAGATTACGAAATAATAGGAATAATAGGATATAAACGGAAAATCAGAGTAATCTCGCGGTTTGGGGAGGGCACGCGCCTAAATGAATGGTGCTCTTTGATCCATAGGCCAGAATATAAATGATAGCCAAAATACCTCCGATAACACGCGTCACATGGTCGGCTGTAATGTCGCTCCGTCAGCAGTTCATTATCCGAACATCCCGGACATGTGCATGTCTCTATTGGAGATATCGCGTTAATGGAGATCCATTCTGAACAATTAACAAGACTCCTTGACACGACATCGATGCGAGTTCCGATACAATGACTGACTTTCCGCATTTAATATTTAAACTGTATCGCTTAAATAAAATCTGAACGAAAGATGATGACAAAAGTTTATAGGGTCGTTGTACTCCTTCAAATCGAGGATATTGAAAGTGAACTAACAGATATATATATATATATATATATCTGCGTGATTGCCGAATATTCCAAATTATTCAAATAGTTTCGAAAGTATAAGTAGACAGCGAGACCGTGTCTCCCGGACAGTCTCTCAGCTGAAGCGAAACTTTATTGGGAGCTTAGTACCCGAGATGCTCGGTGCAGCATATAATGAAAAATTTACGACGGTAAATCTTCAGAATAGGGCCTTTTCCGAATTTTGATATTTTCTTGCGGTTTTCTTGGTAAAAACCTTTGTTGTGACTCCGACAGTGATAATCAATCGGGGGAGCCCGAAAAATATGCACCCTACCTATTTTTTTTTACCTATTTTTACTTTATTTTTGATAAATGTCTAGATTAAGGGCGACCTTACCGATTTCATTGACCTTGATATATGTTGTCAAGGTCATGACCCCGAGTGACCTTCAGAAGGTTTTAGCCGTCGCTCGTTATTCGTTAAAAAGTTATTAACAAAAAAAGTTTGGGAAATACGTAGG